CCTGACAGTCAGTAGCTCTTTTTTGGAAGGAAGTGTACATGTCCTTCTGTACAAGAACGGAGTGACTCTCATTACCTGCAAGCGTTTGGTTTTTACCCTCTTAAAGAATATCTGTTACTGTCCTTGCCAATCCAGGAACATCGAGTCCTCACACTGCACGACTGTGAAAATGCAGTAAGAGTCAGCTTTGTCCACACTCATGTCAGTGCTGCGGACACAAAGACATACATCTTGTGAAGTTTGACTGTTAAAAAAGCATCTCCAATTTCCAGGTGTAGAGTAAAAGAAGATCTGCATCGTTGCTCCTTGAATGCACGCTGCTGCATGTTCAAGTGGAGCTCATGCGTTGAATTTGATCTTTGGATTTGTCATGGAGCATTTCATACGAGCGTCACGCTCTCAAAAACGGCACGATTCTGTCCCCACATAACTGAAATTAAAGAATGAACTCTTATCAAGGTGATGCTGGATTGAAATGTAGTTCATGTACACAGATGGTGTCTGGATACAGCCGTGCCGCCTGGGAGAAAAGGATTTGTTAGTTATGGGTTATGGATAAATTGCATTAAGTTTTCAAGTTGTTGGAGAATTTAGGAGGTGCTGCCATCGTGTGGAAGGTTTCAGCAAAGGAGTTTTCCTGACTCATTAAGGAACTGGAGATTTGGTAACATCTCTCGTAAAAGCAGTTTGTTTTGCAATGCAACCGATTCCGGTTAACAGCACTGTTTAAAATTCATGCACAATCATATCCATCTTGTTTTCACAAAGCACTGGCAACCTAATCGAGATAAAAATGCTAATTAGGATGAGGATGAAGATAAATAAGGGATATTTACATGTGAGTTCGTGTGAGAATCGTGATATATAGTGACATTATGTAAATGTACGGATACATGATATATATACCATATCGGTTGGTTACTTGGTTATTTATTTATTCATGAGCATTGGTTGATATTAGATCTTTAAAAATACTAATAATTGAATAACACTTGTTGAATATAACCTTTAACAAACCTTTTACATTAAATATTATTTTTAAATGATTTATTTTAGTTTTTAGTGGGTTTGTTTTCCTTTTAATGTATTTACATATAATAGTAAAAACAATTTTAATACTGTCCCTATTGGTAATTGGCCATAATGTGAAAATAATTATTTGCTTGAATTTTGTGCATCCCTACCAAAAAGAATTTGGACACTTAAATCATTCTTATGAAAAAGAAGTGCACTTAACTGTAGTGAATGTGCACTTTGCAATAAATATCAAATTAAATGTTCACACTTTACATTTAACAATCATTATGTTTTAATATTATTTTGCTGTGCTTTAAAGAATCACAATTATTTTGATGCATTGGCTAACATATTAAAGCACGTTATTCAACATTACATTTCAAATTTAATTTATACATGTATTATAATTAAAATATACTAAATTGCTACTTCAAGATTACAAATGTGTAATTAAAATGACATTAAAGTAGGCCTAAATCTTTAATGCAAGGAAATTACACTAAAGTATATTTTAGTTTACTTGTCAATTCAGCAGTACACTTTCACCACATTTTAAACACAATATGAGAGGGAGTCAAATCTTTGCGTGGCAGGAGGAGCTGCCCAAATCCTGCTACAACTGAAGGCAGCTGCCAATAGATGCGTGTGAACTAAACCGACAATGCAACCCTGGACTCCTTCTATTCTTTGGCACCTTACATAATAAATAATTCCGTAGTTTTAACCCCAAATGCAGCAACTATCCCCTGCTACCAGCGGGAGCCAAACAGTACACTCACCATTAACTGACTGTTTCTGACTGTTTACACTCTGATTGATGCACGTGAGCAAAAAGACAGTCTAGTTTTATTGATCTATTTGCCATAGCGGTGACGGGTCGTGTGGCAGGCGCATTTACTGGTGACCTCCCAGATAGCACATGTAATAATCTGCAAGATGTCTGTCAAAGATTGCTTGATCTGGAAAGCATCTGCTGTGTACAAACATCTGATCGACGTCTTTAAGATGTCAGTTTTACATACAATCTAAATCGTAAACATCTTAAAGACATTTTCTAAACGTCTATTTGACATCTGATAGGAAACATCCTATAGACGTATTGGAGATGAGCAAACACTGTAAAAAATACATCTTGCAGATGTAAATGCAGACATCAAATAGACGTCTCCGTGATGTACGTGTGCTATCAGGTATTTAGTGGTGATGGGTCGAGTGGCAGCTCCCCCTGCCACGTAAAGATTTTACTCTTGCTGGACACTTGACCTATGTGGGTCAAGAAAAAAAAAATAGTTCTGTCAGGACCACTATCGTCAAAATGATAGATACTTAGCATAAAGTTTGGTTTGGCGCTATGGTTCTGTTCTGGGCAAAAAACTCCCTGCCCATCCATGCAGCCGGTCATGAATGAGCAGGGAGAGCAGCAATAATAACCCCCCTTGGGTTAACAGAACAGAACAAGGCAGATATCATTAATGTACTTAATGATATTTAAGTGTAACACTTTATTCAAGATAAAGGAGTCTGATTAGCAAGGAATATCAGAAAGCCAAGTCCTGACTGTGGCGAAAGGAGGAGCTGGGGATGGAGGAGGGTAATTTGCTCAGGAGCAAGCTGAAAAGCTGCTGAATAATACTGAATATAGCTTATATAGGAATGACGCGATAGGTGTCATATTCCTATAGGTAGATGTGATCAGCTGAGAATCAGCTGATGCAAGCTTGACTCACGTGACCTGCCAGAACTAACGCTAACGCTTAAT